CTCGGATTTCTTCGCCGTAACCTCAGACTAGCTACACCTTCAGTAAAACTACTAGCTTATACGACCTTGGTCAGATCAAAACTTGAATTTGCTTCATCCATATGGTCACCATGGCAATCATATCTAACTAACAACCTTGAATCCGTTCAAAACAGAGGTCTTCGTTTTATTTACTCTGACTACTCCCCATACACTAGCATATCAGGATTACGCAAATCAGCTAACCTTGACTTACTTTCTTTACGTCGAAGGGTGTCACGTCTCACTCTTCTTCACAAAATCTTTTACCACAACAACCATCTAAAAGATTCTCTACTATCACCTCCCTACCGTATTTTCCCTCGTTTTGACCACTCATGTAAACTGCGCTCAATTACTTCGTCATCTGTCTCCTATAAAATGTCGACTTTACCATCTGCTATTGACGATTGGAACTCATTACCTGACCTCATTGTAAACATGACTGATACTAACAAGTTTGCTGCAGCCGTTAACCTCTTTCTTTCTGAAATACAAGTATAGATTACAGCGTGTTTTTTTATTAACTATTTTTGTTGATGTTTTTAGTGTGTTCACTCCCTTGTATAATGCCCCCTGGGGCCCTCAAGGAAAATAAATGATGATGATGATGAATAGTAATCTATAAAGAAGAAAACGTAAAACGTTTAGTCCCGGGGATGTCTAAGTGTAGTTTGAGGGTTTCTATGACCACGAACATTAATTCCCGGTGTTATAATGAACAGCTAAACGATTAGCGTCTTTAAGGCTTGCTCATCATTGCTCTAGCAAGACTCAAACATTCACTTTGAAGATAAAACAAGCCGCCATGGCCTGAGCACGGCGATGTTTTGAGCAACCTAAGAATACTGTTGCTCCTGCTGTAGCTTGCTTTCAAGTCCATCTAAAAATAAAAACGTGGCGTACAGTATTTTCTTGACTAATAATAAGAGCTGAAACCCCGCAGACACACTCATATGAACCAATGAACAAGCGTTCATTTAAGCACAATAAAAGTGACTACACCTTATCTGACCTTTCGCTACGACTGCGGTCTGCGAAACCCCCAATACCTCTAAATTTGTGTAACTTATATTTGTAACACTAGTTTGACCGGAACGTCGTTCTAGACTGGCAGGTGTGCCAAATAGGCATGGCCGGCTTTGCATGGCGATATCACGTGTAGGTCAGCTTTATTTAACAATTCTAGCCCAGACAGAAGTTCTTTGTTTAGTTTTTTTCATCAGAAACACGCAGGAAAGCAATTCGATATGGTGCCACACGGGTCTTTTGTGAGGTAACTGAAAAATGGACACCCAATCTCGTGTTTTTTTAAATTTTTTTCAAGCTTTATTTTTATTATTTGCATTTGTTTTTAACCAAAGGCACCTTACAAAAAGGTTACGTTTATTTAAGTACACCACGGACGTCGTGAGCAGTCTCGATAAGAAGGTAGCGCCATCTATCAACACGATCGCCAAACGCGCCCCGCCACTCGACCCGGTCGTCCGCGTCGCCGTCCACCGTCATACCTGACAAGTTTATTCGCCCTATTTTGTACAGAAAGAAAGATACGCTTTGTAATTTTAGAAGATAAAACCGACCTGCGAGATACAACTTTGACGAAAAGTTTAGGCGTCGATTTTACGGCCCATTTTAGATCGGGCCGGGTTATTTCAGGCACCCTATATCCCTGTGTTCATGCTTTTTTGTTTCTAGCTTTGCTCAGCAGTACACTTGAGTGTGATGACGCATGCGTCTTAAAACTCGTTCGCGCGTGGTGGTCGCAGAATAAATTTTCGTCATCCATTTAGGGCTGCCGTTACTGTATCAAAAGTGACGCTGTGTTGTCATTTTGCGCGCACTCTAAGTTCCAAGGTCCCGCCAGAAGCTGTTTAGACCAAAGTAAAACTTCACACAAACTGCAGCAAAAAAAAGAAAAGAAAAGAGAAAAATCTGGCAAAAACTGAAGTTGCTGAGGAACCACCAGAAATATATTGAGATTGACGGGCTCGCTTGGAACATAAAATACGTGTTGTCTGAAAACTTCCCGAACGACTTGTGTATCTCCCCCTTGAACCTTTAGTGTTTTTTTGGTAGTTTGACACTTCATAAAAAGAGATTCTAGAGAAGAAGGCAAAACAAAAACTAACAAAAAGGCGAAATTCGAAAAGGAACAAAAAAACATCTTTTTTTTTTTTTTAACATGTCACCTTATTTTTGTATTTCTTAGCGGAGCCGCTTAGCACTTTCGCAAATGTTAGAGGAATTAAAGCAAAAACGTCAAAGAATAAATCGTCCGTTGTTGCTGTTTTCACCAAGGGTTTGTTTCTTCCCAGTTATATACCCACGCCTTTGGCCTCCCGCCACCATGCCCGTTGTATATATATATATATTGTGGGGGTATTTTGGGGACAAAGAATCAGCAGGCGGAGACGACGGTTTGCACAACGCGCCACTTGGTGCCCACAAATGCTCCCTCTTCGGAGAAGGCCATCCTGGCCGGAAGGTGGAGCCAGCATGCTAAGGTTCGGGCTGACGAGGTTTGCAATGCTTCAGCCGACCGACATGCACGATAGGCCGACCACGGTTGCGGCGGTCAGATGAATGCTGTTCAGGCTCCACGAGGTAGTGGAAGGGGATGTTTGGCAAATGACTTGGTACGGTCCTTGGTGAGGAGTTTTTCGGAGAGCCCGAGTTGGCGGTTAGGAATATATATGAGTACGAGGTCATCCGTATTTTATTGGTGATCCTAATGTCGGTCATCATAAAAAAAAAAAAAAAAACTTCGCAGCTTACATTTGCTGAACCTCTGTCTCACTAACTTTGGCATTTGCGGCAGTTCGCGGGGCGGGGGCTGTGCAGTGGGGCTATGGTCTGAAGGTCGATCGGTTGCGGCGGAGGACTGCTGCAACCAAGGTCCGGAGCGATGATGACGAAGAACGAAAGATGATGTACCCCTCACCTCCACCAAATGTTACGAAGATGTACGGCCGGCAGCAAATGACAATAGGGAGTTTTAGTAGATCGTTTTCAAAGGCCCGCTACCGCTACGAGCGCGCGCTTCAGAGCATGCATCGAAGTGGCAGCGCGAGCTCCCGCTACGATTAGCGTGGCCTGAAAACACGATCTGCTAAAACTCTCTAATGACGTACGCGTCCACTCAATGAGATAGATAGGATTTTATGGAAGCCGGACGGTGCGCGCGGAGCGTGGCACGTGACGGCCATGCACGTCACTGCCCCAGTGTCACCGTCTTCTTCGTCACAATATACATATATATATATATATATATATATATATATATATAAACACTTAGCATTGCAAATACTCTAAATCCGGGGTCGTACTGCTTATACGTCATACAAAAGACAGCCCACATACCAAGTGGAACTCGAGTCACCCCGAGATCTGTGCTTGGAATGCTTCCTGGGCGTGCTACTGCTATCTTCAGTCATGTTAGAGTTCATCGAGCGCTGGATATCAGCCGCGATTAGTCCGGTTTTCATATATGTGTACAATGCCGCCAACCAAAAGCCGGATATTTTCCATATTGTATGTAAGTTTGCGTACACGTGTCTTTCAGTGAGTTTGTCTTTGACTGAGGTTAAGTATTAAATAAAGTGAAAGTGATAAAAAAATAACAAATAAAGCGGTCTTATCAAGACAAAGAAAAAAAAAAAGAAAATGATCCGGAACACGAAATCGACGTGTTCATGACAGGGAAAAAAAGGATATAACTTGATGGATAGCAAAAGCAGTGCTGATTCCCTCGTATTTTCGTTACACGGAAAACGTTTAATAGTCGTAGTACAAATGACATCTCATGGCACTGTTGCTCAGACTCCCATGACACACCATGAGCACATATGAACACTGTCCGCCATTGGCTGAACACAGTAAACATTGCCCGCCCATGGCTGAACACGGTGAACACTGTCCGCCATTGGCCGAACTCACCGCAACACCCCATAACATTTGTTTGCTTCTTTATTCGCCGGTATCCGACAAAGTCCGCAAATGTGGAGACTTTTAGTGGATTCCAACTGCAAATGTGCGTCCAGAATTCTTGCGGGCCACGGATTTTAGGTATGCCCATGAACAGCTAGTGAAGTGAGCGAACGCAACAAAACGAAAGGGCCATAAAAGAAATAAAAAGATTCACAGCGCGCTTGCGATCTTGTAAAAAATTTCAAGCATATATAATAACCGCTTCCTCTTCGAATTCCCGTCAATGAGCACCAAGCTGCAAAAAATAAAAACAAGAAGAACAAGTTTCTCAAGTTCTTTCAAGTTCTTCCACGGGCAATGACTCTATAGAGTCGATAGTAACAAAAAAATAATTAAATATATATATTTTTTAAAGATCACACACTTCGATTCGATGCAACTCAAGAAAGAGTCAAGAAGCAGCGGAAAGAAGCACCTTTTGTGAAGGAAGAGGTGCGAACAAGGCGGTCGAACCGAAGCATTGAACACACAAACGTGCAAAAAGCTCTTTTGTTCCTCTTTTTTTTCTTTTCTGGGGGGCGTCATTATTTTGCGCTGTCAAAAACCGCGTCATTTGCGGCGAGGGTGGCCACGCTACGCTGAATTCCGTGAAAAGAAGGTCGACCCTCGAGCGCCTTTTGAATTTAACACTTCCCAAGGTGGAGAGAGGCGAAAAGTTGCAACTTCAACAAATAAAAAGAGAAATGGCAAGGACCTTTGCTTACTGTTCCTTTTTTTCACATACTAGCCTAAGGGTTCTACGAAGGCGTTACACACTACAACACCCAGTGATGTGCATTACTTAAGCTTAACACATTCGAAAAATGTAAAAAAGGAAGTGGAAATAATTCGTTTGGGGTGTGAATTTTGTTTCTTCGAGGTATTTTATGTGCGATGTAATGAACTTTAACAAACTCATACAATTCCGGTCTAAGTTCGATTATGTAACATGGGGCTCTTGACACCTTTGGCGTTTACGCACTGCGTCTAGTGCGTTTCTAATCCTTTTAAAAATGATCTTGTATTTTGTCACGAGAAAGGTACGCGAAGTTCAATGAGTGTCGTGGACTGAGAAGTGCATGGTTGTTCCAACAAGACGAGAAACTGTACTTGGCGCAACTTGAGTCCACTGTTAGCAGCAAACCTTGATCATTTTGGAATTGTGTATCAACATATAAGGGACAGGATAACCCGATCACGTGGGATTCTGCGAACGAACGACGCCGTATTTCGCCGAAAAAGGCCCCCACTAACAGCTACCCCCGAATAATAGCTAATTCTCACACCACACTGGCCAAATTACCTTTTTAACGGTGAACTAAAACAATATACAAAATACAGGGAAACCAAATACAAGCTGCATAAACCTTGTTACCTACAACATGATTCGGTCTAGCTCCTAATAAAAAAAAGAAAAAAGAAAATGTTGCAAAGCAAAAGAGACGTTTGACTGCGATGGCGATTGGTCCAAGAGCGAGCTACACAAAGCGGTGTTCCTCATCTCGCTGTCACTGGGGCGACGGCGCGGACGGGGGTGCGAGCCGGGGCGGCGTCTGATTTAGCGCTGGGGCAGGCAGAAAGCGAGCAGCAAGAGAAATTGCTGAGACAAGGACGGGCCCATCGGGACGGGCCTCGGAGGGAGACCGACGAAACGAACCAAGCACTTCCCGCCACGGTCGTGGGGACAGACAGAAAGCGGGGAGGAAGACTCGCAGGGAACGAGGGTGCGTCGGGAGGCAAGGCACGGGGAGCGAGCAGCCGGACCGGGATGCCGTCCGCGGCAAAGTGTCCGACGCGGTCGTTGTTGTGCCGACGGGCGGCGTCTCCATTCTGCTTCGGGCACGTTCTTACGGTGTAAGCACTACCAAAAAAGCAAAAGCACCATTCTTGTACTTTTATTAAATACCGCTCGGAATTATTCCTCGACATTCATAACCCATAAAATGCACGTTAGTGCTTTTCTTTCTTTCCCCCCTTTTTTGTTTTACGCAAAGACAGTTACAGAAAAAAAATTTAGTAAAACGAGCAGCGTTCACCCTCTCAAAAGTATAATTGTGTTGTATATATGTTTAGACAGCCGAAATTAGTCGTCCTCAATGGGCGACTTGTCTCTCAGCTGTGTGTGAGCAATTTAGCTAGTGCAGTCCAACCACACGCCTGGGCTCTTCAACATGCACCCCGCCGTAGTGATACACGAACGCACGCCGGGAAGATGCTCATCCAGAGCGAGACGGGCAGGGACTGTATCCTCAATCATACTCCGTTTCACTTTAATTGCGAGCGAGGCCGGAGCAACAAGCACGAGCGTGTGGCCATGAACAACTCTTGCGCTGCACGCGGCGGCATTACGCAATGCAAGCATCACGCTTTGCATTGCGTAATGCCACAGCGCAGACTTCATTTTTGGTCTAAACGGATGCTCCGCCTGATCATTCGCTGAGTTGAGTTTGTAGATCGCAGAGATTGGCTCTTTGAGTGTTTTGCGGGTAAGTAGAGCCGCAGGCATTTTTTAGTGTTGAAGGTAAGAAGACTGGCCAAGCTTCCCCCCCCCCTCCCCTCCCCCACGGTCTTGAATATTTGGTCGACTCGACATGTTTACAGGGGGGGAAGCGGCTCTGATGGCGCAATGTTACAAGAGTCTCTATCTTCAATTTTCGACCAAATTCATTTTAAACACTAGAAGCTTGATTCAAAATGTTTCTTTCAAAACAATTAAAGACGAAAATTAAAAAAAAAACTGATTACCCCTTATCGTCAGCTACATTATCGCGGTGTACTCATCATTTCATAATTCAGAAAAAGTTGCAATTATAAAATGTCGTGCTATCTTGCTTATTTGTAAAGGTTCGTATGATCTACCAACTCTGATGACAGGAGACAGGCAGCTACTGTCGAGGTACTGATAAGACGCGGGCTCAGAAATTGTATTTGTTTGGCAATTTTCAGCACGTGGACGTCATGTTTCGTGCCACAAATCGGGACACTTTGTTACGTCCAAGAGTAAATGGAGTTATGTCATCATGACTATCAAACTATACAAATTGCTTACAAAATTGTTATGAGACTTAAAGATTCAAAAGTTTACATGCTAATTAATATATCTTTTCTTCGGTCTTCTATATTATACATCTATGTTTACCACCAAAAACGAAACAAATTTCCCAGTAATAAAAAAATGAGGTTGTTAAAAAAAGGTCTTCCGTTTTCTTTATTTCTATATTGTGCCAAGGAAAGAAATTGTAAAGGATTTAATGTTGAACTTCTTTCGGTCTGCCCCAATTATGAATAATTTCTCGAACACTCTCCACAATCGCTCTATACTAAAAAAGAACAGCAAAAAGAAAGGAGAAACTGAGTTACGGGTTTCAGTTGAGCCAGTTGGTGCATGTTACTTGGACTGGGGCCAGCTGAACTCTTCTCTAAGTTCAGCTGGCCCCAGTCCAAGTAAGAAAGGAGAAGTCCGTGAGTTTGTCTTTTTACAGATCACGGAGGCAGTCAGGCCAATAACGGCAAACAATACCAGTATTCCAGCGAATGACGAAGCTGAGAATGCGATTAGATCTCAGTAATGAGATGTACGGCAGGGGCAATAAGGAAGTGAAACGAGATATTCATTGCCTTGTGCACAATGCACAGTTTTTGTCTGATCGTAAACTGAGCTTCGTCATTCCCGGGGATCCTGCTATTGTTGACCGTGATTGGTTAACTCCGTGTTCTACAGAAAAGTGGACTCGCAGAGTCATTTTCAGAGTTCAACGATAACGCACACACTGTTCTCCTAAAATTTGTTTTTCGTTTCTTCTTTTTTTTTTTTTTTCGGGGCAGCATTTGCATTTTTACTTTTCAGCATAAATTCAAATAAACGTATACACCCGCCTGGCGTAATCTCGGACTTTATGTATACGACAGCCGGGTCGGAAATTCAATACCGGTTGTGTGGCGCTCGCGTGCGCCCATTTTAGGGAGGCTTCTGTTCGAAGCGTTATCGACGTCGTCGTCCAAAGTGTCGCCTCCTCTCGCGGGCCGCGTGGACGGACGACCGGCCCTTCGGTAGGGAAGCGCGGAGTCGGTGGATCGGTTTACGACTTTCCAAAAGAGGACGAAACACAAAAGCAAAAAAGGAATCGAACGCGAGTGTTGTGGAAAGGGGCCGCACCGAAGAAGAGAGAATGCGTGTGTGTCCCATACTGCCTTGAAGACAAGGCCTGCCCATTTCACCCCCAAACGTCATCACTAGTGAATCCACGCAGCACCGCGTTGCGGTGCCTGTACAAAGCGTCTCCGACGGGTATGTCTGGCGCCCTATCCTACCCATACATCAAAAGTGGATTCGAAGTCACAACAAACGACGTCACAGAAGCTAGCACGTCATGATGTCGGATGTCGTAATCATGCCCGTTTAACGTAAAAACACCCAGCAAAAAAAAAAAAAAAAAAATTGCGCCGTCGATTACGCAACGTGATGCGAATGGTCAGCGTCAGCAGGTGCGACATTTGGATGATATTGCGTCGTGGCTGACCGGAAATTCCGGTGATGTTGCGTCGCGCGGTGACCCTTGTAAACCACAACCTATCACACGGGGAGCAGCTGGCACCAAACATGTTATCTCTGACGCGCTGCACAAATTGGTCTGTCGCACCAGCGTGTTTATTTTTCGCTGGGTAACGTTCTCTTCTACGTGCCGCTTTACGTTCACGCATAGCGTGACCTTGACATTGAACGCTTTCCATCCTAACACCAAGGGTGAGAGAGCGTCAGCACCCACCACTGATCTCAATGACAATTGCTGGATCGCTTTTGCCCGCTCCGCGAATGCGGCCACTGGCGGCCATCTTTTTTGGTAGATTTATATTACCTCTAGCCAAGGTACAGCTGGTGCAGCCACTATCATTCATCCATGGCAGACAGCGTTGTGACAGTTGTGGTAGCAGGCTGCCATCAAAATAGCGTGGGTGATATTTCGTGCTTGATTAAAATCGTTTGACGAAACATATTTTGAAACCCGGCGGGAACGGTAGCCCGACCTGTGAGGACCAGATGAAAGTTTCACGAAATCGCAGACTCGGGGAAAAGCAGCACAGCACGCATCAAAAGAAGTATCGAAAGAAGCGTCAAAATCAGACGCCGGTACGGAGTCTGCTATCGATGCGAGCTGCGCTGCTTTCCCCCGGTGCAGCGCTTTCGTAGAACTTTGTCGGGTCCTCAAAGATGAGGCTACCGTTCACGCCGGGTTTCGAGAATCTGCTTTGTCGAACAACTTCAATCAAGCACGAAATATCACCCACGGTACAGTGTACTAGATCCACGGCTATTTTATGGCAGCCTGCCGCCATTGCAGTAAAGTTGACATTTGACCTTGTGCGCTAAATACCTCAATATGCCGCCATTGCGTTGTCCGCCATATTACCTATGATGGCTAGAGATAATATAACTCTACCAAAAAGATGGCCGACCGTGGCCGCATTCCCGTCCTCAGGCGGAGCCTGTCAAACGTGATTCAGCAAATAGACATAGAGATCAGTGGCGCCCACGCATCGACGGCTTTCTCTCTCGCGGGCGCGTTTTATTTCGTCAGGCGGCTGTTGCTATAGATCACATGACCCCCAGCGCCATCGCGATTGGCCATACTAAACGCACCCTGGGCCAAACGTGCTGCGCCTCAATTCAACACTCCCTAGATAAGAAAGCCTAAGTGTTGCATATTCCTGCGTCACTCAAGAAGGTCACCGTAGGCCAGAGATTGGACATGTCTACGATGTCAGCGTTCTGCTAGGAGTCGTGTTCTCACTGACTGCACACGACTCCTAGCCGAACACTGACGCCGTAGTCGTGTCCAATCTCTGGCCTACGGTGAACTTCTTTAGTGACGCAAGAAAATGCAGCACTTAGGTTTTTACCTAGGAGGTGTTGCTCAACCGCTACTATATCGACGAAAGGGCGAGGGTATCGCTGCTCTACCAACACCGCCTAGAAGACAAGGCCGCAGTGCTGCCATTCTTGCGTCATCAGCGAAGGCTGGTGATGCAATTTGGACACAGA